GCTTCGTGGCCCCCGCAGCTCCCCTTCCCTTCCCCCCGCTCGGGCGCCCGGCCGGGGAAGGGAAGCCGCATGCGCAGGATCCCCAAGCACCGCCCCCCCACCGCGCACCTGTTCGGCCCCCAGCGCGCGGGGCCCAGCGTGGGCCGGCCACGGCAGCGGGCTTGGCTGTGGTCCTCCGATCCTCTAGCCAGCCCTCCCCCTGGCCGATCGGCGCCCCTCCCCCCGGTCCTGCGTACCTGGCCAGGCCGTCTGGGTTCCCGGAGTCCCAGAATGTGCCAGGCTTCACTCAAACCTCTGCTCTAGTCGCCACAAAACGAGGACCCGCAAGGGGTCGGGATGGGAAAGAGACTGACTTCTTCATTCTGGGAAAGGGGTGGAAGGAACTGAACATCTGCCACTCCAGGTAGAGGAGCAGCGGGGTGAGGGGGCCGGGGATGACGCTGGTGGTCCTTTTACCTTGACCTTTTGGTAGCCCAGGAAAGCTTTGGAGGATTCTTAGGACCAGGCCCACCTCTGCGAAAAAATATATATATATAAAGTGTCTGAAACATGAAACCTCTTGGAAGAAATTCTCAGGAGCTAGAATTTTCAATGCATCTTGTTGTTCTGGTCAAGGAAGAAAAGAGACCGAATTGTGAAATCACTGAACTCCCAGTGCCTAGCACTGAAATCTTAAAGTGTTTATTGAAACACATACCAACTGCCCAGATTTCTCTCCCAGAGGCGTTTGCATTTTTAAGAGGATTCGTTGAAGAAAGCAATGCTGAGCTAAAAGGAGTCATAATAGGGTAGGCCTGGCATTAGGTAGGAAAGGTATTTAGGCTACGGGAACACTCTGGCAAGCCTCCTTAGGACCTTCTTTAAGCAAGAGAATCACTTCATATAGACTTTAGCTGGAGTCTTTCCTATGCCTCTAGACCAGCGGTTCTCAACCTGTGGGTCGCGACCCCTTTGGGGGTCAAACAACCCTTTCACAGGGGTCGCCTAAGGCCATCGGAAAACACATATATCATTACATATTGTTTTTGTGATTCATCACTATGCTTTCATTATGTTCAATTTGTAACAATGAAATTGGGGGTCACCACAACATGAGGAACTGTATTAAAGGGTCGCGGCATTAGGAAGGTTGAGAACCACTGCTCTAGACTGTCAGCCAGCCCCTGCAAAAATCATATACCTTGAAGTTCCATGCAGGTTCTTAATGAAATAGCAAACACTAAAGATCTGATGGTAACAGAGAAAGTTATACAATAATGGGAAAACTTCATCTAATTTCTGGAGACTCATTAAAATCCATGTTTGCTGAAAACTGACCATATTGATCATCACATTTAACATTACACCCTCTTGGGTCTCCAAAAGTTAAAAACAGAAGTTCTCTCTATATAGCTCAGACTGAGCACAACTCAGGAGCTACCTTAAAGGTACCAAATTCTTAGTACATGTAGCAGATTATATTTTCCAAAAATGCCCACAACCATATTCCAATCCCACATGCTCTTGCAGAACCGTGTCGCTCACCCATCAATAAATGGCATCTATGTTCCCAACCCTTGAACTTAAGTGGACCCTTATGACTGCCTCAAAGAATAGGATGCGGCAATGGAGACGGATAACTTGTGAAGCGAAGTCATAAAAGGCAATCTAGTGTCAACCTGGCTCACTCTCATGCTCTTGTTCTCCACTCGCTTTGGAGCCTGAGCTTCCATGTAAGAAATCTAGACTACAATGAGATATCACGTCACACCCGTCAGAATGGCTATCATCAAAAAGACCAGAGATAACAAATGCTGATGAGAATGTGGAGAAAAGGGAACCCTTGGGCACTGTTGGTGGGAATGTAAATTGGTGCAGCCACTAGGAAAAATAGTATGGGGTTCCTTAGAAAAATTGAAATTAGAACTCCCATATGATCCAGCAGTCCCACTTCTAAGTATATATCCAAAGGGAATGAAAACAGTATCTCAAAGAGATATCTGCACTCCCATGTTTTTTACTCACAATAGCTAAGATATAGGAAGTGTCTATCAATGGATAAATGGATAAAGATTACACACTTACACACACACACACACACACACACAGTGGACTATTCAGCCATGAGAAAGTAGGAAATCCTGCCATTTGCAAAACATGGATGGACCTTGAAGGCATTATGTTAAGTGAAATAAGTCAGACACAGAAAGACAAATACTGCATTATGTCAGAGAGTAGAATGGTGGTTACCAGGGCCCGAGGGTGGGGAAATGGGGAGCTGTTGGTCAAACTTCCATTTATAAGATGAATAAGTTCTGGGGAACTAATGCACAACATGGTGATTATAGATAACACTATACTGTATACTTGAAAGTTGCTGAGAAAGTAGATCTTAGATGTTCTCACCACAAAAATGAAATGATAATTCTGTGACATGATGGAGGTGTTAGCTAACACTATGGTGGTAATCATATTGTAATATATGTGTATCAAATCAACATGTTGCACACCTTAAACTTACACAATGTTATATATCAATTATATCTCAATAAAGGTCGAAAATAAGAAATCTATCTAACTTGAAGTTGCTGTGCTGGAGAAACCACATAGAAACAGAAATAAACACCACAGGAGCCCCAGCTGTTTAAGTGTTCCCAGGCCATATACCACATACATGAATGAGTGAGCCTTCAAATTATTTCATTATTTTTCATAGTAGCTGCACCAATTTACATTGCATATAAACAAGGAAGCACCACCTAGCTGACCCTAATCAATGCCTGAACCTATGAGATAATACTAAAATGATTTATTTTAAGCTACTAAGTTTAAGAGTGGTTTATTCCAGAGTGATAGATATCCAGAAGAGTATTTATAGTATAAAGCTGTTGCCTCATGTAGAGTATGAAAAAATTATTCCCAAAACAAATATACTCCAAAGAGAACACTCCGTCATCTATACAATACAAGGGTTCTGATCCCAGTTAACACAGAACAATAACGATCAACCCATTCTCTCCCCCTGAATGCAGCAATAAACCTGAACAGAATGCATGGAGCAACTACTTAAGGACTTTAATACATAAATTGTACCAGGTAAATTGAGGACGAATACCAGAATTTGCAGTATAACAACTGGCAGTGAGTTAATTCTTTTTTCCCTCCAGTAGCCACTGTACTGGACGTAAGGCAGCCCAAATCCCAGAAGGGGGCATCAACATGGACAGAGAGCACCAGTAAGAGTAGGAAATAGATCTAAAGTTCAGAAAAAGTAACAAAGACCACCATTTTTTCTTTTTTTTCAATTCTCTCGCACCCTAGCCAAGAGGCAATCTCCCTTTGACAGTGACAATGGAGGGAGCAGTGCTATCAAGTGCTTAAAATGCTAAGGGATAGAGGACCCTTCCTCTATGGTTGGAGTAGCTAAGGTTCCCAAATAGTGGGGGCAAACCCCCATTGATATTTGTCCTCCTGCTTCTTGGCCCCAGATATGGGCAAAGTTGCAAGAAGTGCAAAGCAGAGGGAAGTAAACAATGACTCAGATTTCTTGCCAAAGGATCAAAATGGGGAACTCCAAAGAACTGCAAAGTAGTAGGAAAATTGTGGAGAGGGAGGCATTTGGGGGAAAGAATCCTATCAAGTCATTATGAACTCCTAGATTCACCTTGACCTGCATGGGGGTCTGATCTTAAACAACATACCAAAGACTGTGATAATTGAGCTAAGAACCAGATCACCCAGACCCTAGACTAGCCACTGGATAAAACACCTATGAGACAGTTCTAAATAACACAGCAAAGTTTTGAAAACTGAAGTGACTTTGGAGCCATGATCCACAAAAGGCAGGTCAGAACTTGTGATCTGGACTCAACCATGTTGACTACAAACTAAAACAAATATATGTTCCTCCTTAGGATTAAAACAAGATATAAGACCCCACAGCACACTATTAAATATGTCCAGGATACAAGCCAAACATTTTCAGCACATGAAAAACCAAAAGAATCTCAACTACCAGTTGCCTATTGAAGAGGCAATCAATGGACACCAAATGCTGAGATGACACGACACAAATATTTGAATTATCTAAAAAATAATTTGAAGCCGGTGTTATAAAATATGTTTGAATAAGTGAGAGCAAACATTCTTGAAATGAGTATACAGATAGAAAGTCTCAGCAAAGGAGTGAGATAAAAGAAGGAACAAATTGAAATGTTATAACTGAAAATAAAATAACTGAAATTTTAAAGATGGGGTTCAATAGTAAAATGAGGATGAACAAGAGAACTTATCCAACCTAAACAACAAAGAGGAAAACTTGAGAGGTAAATGAACATAACCACAAGGATCTGTAGAATAATAACAAAAGGTCTAACATTCACGCCTTTGGAATGTCAGGAAAGGAGAAAGAGGGTAATGCAGAAAAAAGTATGTGGATATGTAAAAACTGAAAACATTTCAAATGTATCAAAAGGCATAAAACTGCACACTCAAGAACCTTAACAAAAGCCAAACAGGAGAAAATCATATGAATCAATGCTCAGACATACTATATTTGAACTATTGAAAAGAAAGACAAAGAAAATATATTTAAAGCAGAAAGAAAAATGACACATTATCTTTAAGGTAATAATCCAAATGACTATGAATTTCTCATCAGGAATCAAGGTCATAAAGAAGTGTACAACATCTTTAAAGTTCTGAAAGAATTGTCAACTCAGAATAATATGCCCAGCAAAAAATAGCGTTCAGGAATGACAGTCAAAAAAGATATTCTCTAAAAAAGGAAAAATAAGAGAATCCAATGCCAGCAGACTGTTATAAAAGGATGGCTGAGGGAATTTCTTCTCTTCACCAGGT